GAGAGAGAGAGGGGGGGGAGAATGGGGGGAGAATAGAGATAGCTATCTTGTCTTCACATCAGTTTACGGTAACACCCAACAAGAGCCTCTTTTAAGAAATCTAGGCTAGAAATTATGTACAGTTGGTCTCAAGCAGACCCCGATACGTGATATTATGACACGAAGAAATATGTGATAATATCCTGTAGGCCTACGTAAAAAATGCCTTAAGTTGGCACTCGACTCCACGTTTTCGGAGTTGCACTGCTAGGCCTATAGATCAAGGACCTTTTTTATTGTACTATAATAACCTCCTTGATCTTGAGCTAAATCTCTAGATCTCGCTGATTTTATAAAAAATTATATTTTGCTTATCAGCATATTTACAATATGTATAATATAGATTATATTGTTGTTTAAACGTGGAAATTTAATATACAATAGCTCAGGTCGAATGTAATTCCATTGTTGTCGTTAACCAATCTTAATTTTTTAAATACTTTTCTCGGTATACTCGAATTGGCTGCGTTCTTTTAGTTGGAAAATCGTGAAATACCTGGTAGCGTAGTAATTCCACTTCCTGATATTATGGGAAATAAATTTCCCTGACAGAGATCCATAATTCCGCAGCCCAGCTCAGTGTTTACATTGCCTCGAGCTGTTGTTACGCCCGTGACATGCCTTTTGAGACTTGTGTAGAGATGTGATCTTTTCGTCGTTTGGATATACTTTCAATAAAAAGAAACCAGTGTCTATGGTAAAAGTTAACTTTGTATCTGGGTGAAGTGACAACATGCCGAAAGGCGGCAAGAACAAGCTGAACCTGACGATTTCCGTGTCTGAACCACAGACAGACGGAAGCGAGTAAGTTGTCGATTGTCGGGGTTGATGATGAGGGCATATTATGTTATTGTTGAGATTACGATAACGGCTTGCTTATAAAAAAGCAATGGCAAGTTTGAAAATGGTGAGACAGGCACCTGCATGCAGCAATTCTTGAATAAATTTAACCAGTAGGGTGATATCACGTTTCAAGGCCAGGGGATTTCTCACTCTCGGGGTAGGCCTACTGCTGAAGTCTGCTAAAGTGAAGCTGAAGACAAGAAAAACTAGAGGATCTAGATCTAGATCCAGAAGAGAGAACCCCCCTCCCCCCCAAGAATTTCTGGCCCTGTTCCGAGTGGGGGGGAGGGGGGGAATAGGACACCTCACTGTCGGCAGTGTCAAAGTACATGGTGACCCACAACTCAGAGTCTTTCCACCCCCATTACAGTAGAATCATCATTACTGCCACTGCCATTTGACTTTCCACATGTTTAATTTCATGTTATAGTTTTTCTGTAATCACATCTCTTCCCGACATCTCTTCCCCCACCAAGCGGAGAGTGTGTGATCACTGCGCACAATCTCATTGGTCGACATAATTAACTTTGGGAATCGTTAACTTTGTCCCTGGCAAGATCAACTCAACTCAACTTGAGACTTGATTGTTCTGTTCGTACTATAATAAATACGGGCCTAATCATGAATAACTATACTATGACAATTGCTCTTTACTGATTTGATCACAACTTTAAAGTTTGCTGTTGATGATTCTTCGGCCTCGGTTTTCTCATGTGAGTGAAAGATGTAATTATGGGCCATCGTGCTGCAATTTGAGCACACCTTGACCTCCAGTTTCTGCGTCGTTGTCTGTTCTCATATCTGCTTTCCTTTAAAAGTTGCGTCCTGTTGTGTGCACAATATATTCGTCTTCACTTATTATACGGTCTTGTGCAAGTTCTTCCCAGTTCTCAATGATGCTTGCTTTCATTGTGTGTTTGCAGCAGTCCTTGAAATAAAGCTTCCGTCTCCCTCTACTTTAGCATTCCTTCGAACAATTTTCCAAACCGCAGTATATTATAATTTGTTTTGATATTTCCAATATGCGCATATATAACCAGCTATCGAAGTCTATTATACTCTCACACATATTCTATCACTCTCGGCTATTTTATCTGAGCTACCAGATAGGAATCCGAAATAAATTGGCTTTCGCAGTAATCTGCTGCTACTTTACTTTGCGGTGACTTCAGTCTCCCCCTTTCTCCATCTATTTTACGGACAAAACGAATGTGGTGTGTATGCGTGTGTGTATGTGTGTGTGTGTGTGTGTGTGTGTGTGT